AGTCTCCATAAGATTGGGAGGCCCAGTGCTATGTTTATTTCTGATTGCTTGAAGGACCAGACAAGTTCCCATAAGATTGGGTGGTCTGGTTGCTTTGACTTGCGAGGGCTGCCTCTGTTTGACTTTCAGGGACCAAGCATTTTTCCATAAGATTTGATGGTTTGGTTGCCTTGTCTTCTTTGGGTTTTCTTATGTTTGAGTAGTTTCTGAAAGAGAGTTGGGCATGTTCTATAAAACTGGATGGCCTTGACTCTCTCTTGTTTTATTCTGAGGGTCCGTGAGGGGGAATTCAGGCCAAGGACTGGACAGGTTCCCATAAGATTGGGTAGTCTGGTTTGGAGCCACGCACATGCTGGAAACCAAAAGGTTATAACTTGGCTATATTTTATTACTATCATACTTATGAACAGGCTAGTCAGACATTTTTCCATAAGATTGGAAGGTCAGACTATAGCATATCATCTAACTGAAGAAAGTATGAATTAAAAATAAAATTGTGGTAAGAAGGGACAGGTTGAATCTTGAACTAAGATGACCGGTGCAGTCATATGTTACCTTAAAAGACAAAGTGCAAACAATTATATATAACTTGGATATTTAAATGGTCCAGGGCGACTAGGCTGGCTAACCTAGTCATGTGCTCAAAGAAAAGAAAAGTTATAAGTACCCTGTGTTTGTGTATATTCTATGATTGAGCTAGATAGGTTCCCATAAGATTGGGTGGTCTAGCTTTGTGCCTTAATGTAAGTTGGGTATAAAGGGATAAATCATTGAAAGACTATGAACTATTGTTTGACAAGGTTGACTTTGGGCTGGTGAGAGTACTTACCATTATGGTTTGGCCTTGCATGTGGCTGTGTGAGATTACTACTTAGTCTTAGCTTCAGTTTGACAGGTAGTTGTTTTAAATGCTCGCCACGTGCTAGAGCTATAGGAGTTAGTTTCAATTCCTACATTTTCTGGGCTAAGTTTTTTTAACTTAGGTCAAATTCTGCATTTTCTGGGATCTTTTGTTATACTTGGTTTTGTATAAATTTTGGTAAGTTACTTTCTTTACGTGAAGCACTGTCGAAATTTCTGCAAATCCAAAGAGTTGGTCAAAATTTGACTCTTTAAAGTCCAACTTGTCTAAGTTTCATATCTGACTTAGTATCAATCTGAGAATTCTTCATTTCTAAAGGGAGTGCTGCCCAAACTTCTGCTAATTCAAAGAGTTAGACAAAATTTGACTTTGGAAAGTTGAAAATTATTTCTAGTATAAATTATGAGAAGACACTTTTCCTGCGGGACGCGCTTCCGAAATTTTCTTAGTTTAAAAGGGCTAGATTATATTTCGACAGGTGACGATTTTGGTGATCCACTTTGTATGGGGGAGATTCTGTTGTAGGTCTACCGTTCTTTGGGCATTGGCTTGGAGGTAGACGTAGACTTAGTTATCAGAAATATTTTGAGTGAGAAACGCGATATGGGGATTTATTCTCCATACACTCATATGCTTAGTTTGGGAATCGACTTGTCTTGTGTTACAGGTCCTCTTGATTCAGTTTGATCTTACGAGGATCATCTTCGGTTATCACTGATAACAGGTCGGTTGGTTGATCGCCGACTTGTCGGCTCACGACACAACTTTGTGCCTACCTGTACCTCAGCTTGATACCTTAGCCTTGAGATTTGATATGTCGCTTTGAGGGTTTTAACCGAACTCCTTTTAATGACCATTACAAAGAACTTATGAGATTTATGGAAAGTTTGACTACGACTGGGGCTTGAGTGTGTAAGGCGTGGTGTGAGTTACAAGGGGATAGTAAAGTTGACCATATTGGTGTATGGCAATGTGACGTTTCTCTGTGTGTGTTTTATACAGGTTAGTGTCTTGGAGCCTGTGTACGAGCCTTACTTTGAAGGCAGTGAAAATGACAACCATGTGTCGCACGATCTGCATACCTGATGGGTTTATCTTTCCGTTTTTGGATTTATCTCGAGTTCTGATTTAATATGGATATCGGAATGCCTGCTTATTTACTGATTGATTTTGCCTATTAATTTTTATAGTTGGACGTTGTAGTCCGTGACAGCCATCAAAGTCAAACCCCTTGATTTCTCTCCAAGCCCTGGATGATGGAGCTGGTCTCCAGGGCGATAAGAGACGATTGCTACCACAGGTACGAACCTGTGTACCACCAACTCTCCGCAGGGTGCAAAAAAGGGTGTGGTTCTTAACCGCACTTGGCGGTTGTCTAACGTCCAGAAATTAACCCCTCAAGGCGCGTGTCAGCCGACACTTGAGTATCGAATGCGACCCTCGAGATTAATGAGGGACCGCTTGATTATTGGCACTACATAGTACACCATCATTACGACTGCTTGCATATTCATACATTGCTAATTGATATGGGAAGACCCTGCGTCCGCGCGGTTTTATACTAAGTCTCGCGCGCGTCGCCTATCCGATTTCCACATCGAAAAGTTATGGGATGGCTACTGAAGGGACTATGATTGTGTGTGTTGTTTGTTTGTGTCGTTGTGTGTGTACGTGTGTGTCTTAATTTTTACGTCTTTAGAGTGGTGTGCGCGTGGTGTGCGGGAAGCGTCCTAATCGACCGACGACGGGTCGCGCTTGGGACCTCAGCCCCCCAAGGCGTCGGTTCACGTGCGGGTCTAATAGAGATGTGAAATCGCACCTACCCCCTATGCTACAGCGAACGAGAAACGCCCTCGGCTGGTCCACCTCTGCCATCGCAGCTGATTAGCTTTCGTACTGTGGACTGGTAGCTCGGCGGGGATACGCCCACCGAAGGGAGGTGACAACTCCCGTAAGGTGGGGGTAAGTCGTGCCT